GTTGGAGACACTACAAGATATGGCTGGCAACCGATGTCAGTGGCGTTCTTGTTGTCAGTTTCTATCCAGACTGTCTGAGTGAATGTCTGGAGATGTAGGCACCTCGGAATGATTGTGTTAAGCTAGCACTAAGTCCCTCCCCCATCCACCTTTATTCTTTTCTTTACAATAAGGCTTTCAAGTAAGTCATGGTTGTACGGCAGTGAAGCATCGGTGTTGAACACTGATGTCATGCTGTCGACGATGATGATGATGTTACTGAACATGCCTCCGCATGGTATTTATTTATTGCGTATTTGTTGATCACCGTTATCCAGGGCACCTGAAATCCGGAATATCATGTAGAGCTTCACGTTGGTTTCGCCTTCTAAGGTTGTTCACCGAACTCTAGAGAATCTAGTTAACCACAGGCGTAATAAGCTTGTAATCGGTGTGTCACCTGCTGTATTACTTGTATCTGTCTACCAAAGACATTCTACTTGGACTATTTCGCGAAGATCCTAGGACAGATACCAAAGGAATTCTATCGAAGGGGCCTTTAAGATAACGCACCAGGATGATCTAACTGAATTGCCCAACCAAATGAATGCAATCAGATTTCATGTGTATAGGTTAATGTTGCATGATAGTGTAAGGTTTCGGCGAACCTTGCAATCGTAGCACTACAACGAACTCACTTCTTCTTCCTGCACATCGAAAGGGAGATTGCCCAGAAACACGGACTGCTTAAACTGTTCCACGGGACGCTGTCTAAGTGCACGATCCACTCTAATGTGCTTGCCTGACGACTGATAGTCGGTCGGCGTATCTGTAGAAATGGGTTTCGTCTGCAACCAGTGACCATTCAAAGATAAACCGGCTGGAATACCAGCAGTTGAAGTAAGGACGACGTAGGCGATCATATTCTGAGAGACGCCAGCTGATTGTAGAAGGAAAGACGGAGACGAAATTCGGAGAACGCATCAAACACAGTGGATCGGTGAAACGTCTGTCTTAGGAAACCGGGTAGACTCAGCTAACTTCGAGATATTTGAAAAAAAAACCCGACTCGCTTGGATATGGCTACATGCAGTTGAAGCATCGTCAGAGATACAGCGGCTAAGTGGTTTTCGCACCAAACTCAGCATATCATTCACATATTTGACAGGTGCCAGCGGAAAAACGAGGAAATTTACTTCACAAAACGACGAAATTTCCAGTCAGGGCGACTGGCTCCGTAGCTCAAGGACAGGTAACATTACAGAGGATTATAAAGAGACATTCAAATAATGCACTATGAACGTTCGAGTCTCGTATCTACTCATGGGAATGCCGGACGAAGTCAAAACAGTTACTGTAGGAGACTTTTCCGGGGAAAAAACTTCCAACACGTCAAAATTGGTATAAAGCTCAAAAATAATGAGAATTTTCCGAACACTCCTGGCATATATCAATATAAGAAAACGAAGCAGAATCAGACATAGGGAGCTATTTTACAAAATCGAATGCTTCTTGAAATATCAAGTAACCGCTGAAAGAACTACACATTTGATTCTGGTGTAATAACCACCTAGCTGAATCCACAATTTGCTAAACGAAGAATACAAAACCTTGACCTTATTGAAGCAGAACAACATTAGACACTGTGTCAGCCTTTCACCGGATACCTGGATTCGTTTCATTTTGAATGAAAAACCCACAGTTCATACAGTTCATTTGTATCAGAGAATTATTACCAGTGAATAATTCATCGGTCCAATCAGGTTCGTGGTGTCGTAGTAGTTCGGCACCTTGAGTTTGTCACGTACTATCAACTCAAGAAGAAGTTCCTAACATCTTAGTTGAAACAGAATGGTGCGTCCGCACGCCACACCTTGGACAACTGTTGCTGTGACTGCGGGTAAAACCACTGATACTATTTGAGCGGAACACCGTCCGCAGAGCAGTTATCCTCTAAGTAAGCGTACGGTAGTGCTTAATTCTATCGCCTAGAATGTAACTAAACGCGTCAGTTTCCCCATTCAACACTAAACAAGTCTGTCAGTTAGAACCGCCACGAATTACTCACAGCGGATCACTGATGACAACACCTGAATTCACTCGGTGTTTGTTATGACTAGCTGGAAATGTCAGTGTGGCTGCGTAGATACCGTAGTCCAGTACACTCCTGAAGCAGTTTCATAGCCAATATACATAAATTTTAATGAGAGAACCCTCACTTAGTAATGACAGCACTTTCGCTTGTAACCGACTTTGCCGTCCTTATAGTCGAGCCAACTGACCAGCACAACGGGGCTGTCACCGGGTCGTCGTTCCAACCATCGAGCCGACGAATCACTCCATTCAAGCGCGAACATGTTCGCCCTTTCAGATGTGAAAATTCCGATGGGTCCAACCTGCGCCGGTGTAGTAGTGATAACAAGCTCGCCTCGCATGTCAGGTGCGCGGAGTTCCGATCCCGGCACAGCCAAGGGTATGTGCTGCTGATGAGCTCCAATGAGGGCGAAACTCAAATTCAGTGCTTTCTTCTTTTGGTGTGGACTACCAGAATGATTCCATCAGGGACGACTGCTCAAACGAGAATGATGTGAACCACCTACAATTAGGTTTCCATAAAAACACGGCGAATAACAGTGTCATAGCCGGACAGCGGTCGTTTCCGTTATAACGACCCACATGTGTTCACCATCTGTGAATAGATTCGTTTGCCGAAACGAAACTTAAGGATCATTAAAAATCGATACCCAAGAAAAGGCGCAAGACGGCTATCACAACCGTAAAAGCAATGTGAGTGGAGCTAAAGATTCTAGAGTATTGCATGGACACTAGTGTTAAACCGGCTCGTTTGCGACACATTTTCGCCTGAGGATGCAAGCGTCACATTCAGACTCTCAAATCAACTTACGCCTCCTGATTTTTCATTGTATCCTGTCTAATTCGCTACACCCAAACACAATCAAAGGTGACCAGGAACAGTAATAGCCCACAGGCCCAAAGTTTTGGGCGGATAATTTATGTAAAGTCGTTTTGATAAGCAGTGCAGAAGAATGTACGGAAATTCAATCCAAACATCTTAGAGTTTTCAGCCGATAGCAAAAAAATAGTTCTAGTCCTTGACATGACTGATGTGATAGACAGGTGTAGCACTCGAGAGCACGACTTTTTACTCCATCTAGATGAACACACACCAGAGATTCAGCTGTGGCTAGATGCTCAGGGGACACTAAAAAGGTAGACGCCAAAAAGTAGATTGAAGTATAAATGTATAGGTTAAACAGATAGAGTCTAACCTGAGAATTCTCCTTGGATAACAGCCCGTTTGCGAGCCAATTTTCCTGTACCACCTGTAACCGGAACGACACCCCGGAAACGAACAGATTCCACACGACAGTTGGATTGCACAGATGCACTGTCTTGTTTGATCACAGTGTCGAAGAGTCTACGCAGTTCGGTTTTCTTCAAGCCTGGAGGCAGATTTCCGACGAACAAAGTTCTTTTCAAACGCTCGTTTCGCAAATGTCGGTTATTGCGTTGCGCACTAGTGAGAGACAAGTGAAGATGTCGATAAGATATCAACTGCTCTAGCTGACCGTCGGAGGATAACTTTATGTTAATCAGCAATGGAATTGTGGTGTAAAGGAAAGTTTAATAAATTATATATATATA